TTTCCTTCCCATCTATCTACCTGTTCACACACTCAGCCTTGTTCTAGAAAACATTTAACATGATAAAGAACTCATAAAATACAACATAAATCAAAAAGGAAATATATGTCAAGTTTTAAAAATTATATATATGATATATATCTATATATAGATATATAGATATATATATCATATATATATCAGGGAAAATTAGGATGGCATAGACCAGTACATTAACAGTGGTATTAACACAGTTAAATGTTTTTTTTTCTATTTTAATTTTTATTATTACTTCTGGGCCATTTTGGTAAGATTGAGTATAGTATATTTAAATTTTATAAACTTTGCCCAAACTTTTCTGCAGTTTTAGAATTAGAATAGCTGAAAGCTTTAAAATGTATGCTTTAAACAGGGGAGAAGCACTCAGGAGGCTGAGGCAGGAGGAGGATTGCCATGAGCTTGAGGCCAGCCTGGGCTACATGGTAAGTTCAAGCCCAGCCTGCACTACATCGCGAGACCTTGTCTCAAAAACAAAAAGAAGAAGCAGGGAGACAAAATATATAGAAAATAGCAAATTAAAAAGGGAAGATAGGGGCTGGGGATTTAGCTCAGCGGCAAAAGCGCCGCCTGGCAAGCGCAAGGTCGTGAGTTCGGTTCCCGGTACCGGAGAAAAACCAAAAAAAAAAAAAAAAAAAAGGGAAGATAAACATTAATAAAATGAGTACAATAGACAGAAGTCATAAGACAGAGGCAGGTCACACTGGCTTGAAACGTGCTCACGGCTCTGTGAAACAACCACTGGCAGCTTGCACTGCAGCTTCATGAGGGTGTGAGCCGCAGTGGGTGAACCAGGGGCCTCCTCTTCACTCAGCATCTTAGGGCTTCCCGTGACGGAATTCTGAGGGGTGGTAGCACCTACAAAAGCACCACGTGGGGGCTGGCGGGATGTTTTGTGAACGGCAAGTTGAGAGAGTAGAGATTCTGCACCCTGCCGTGGCGATGTACAGTGTGCACCGACTTGGTTAGTGTCTTGAGGGATGATAAACCTGCATCCATCAGCTTAGCCACCTGCGACCCTGGCGGTGCCACAGACACGGCCCCTCCCCGAGCACAATGCCACTCAAACTTCAGTGCAGGTGTCATCCAAGCAAAAGCCACAGAACAGTGGCCGGAGAAAGCTCTCCGCATCTCATCAGGGAAGCTAAGGAGACCCAACGCTGCACAGATCCCGTAACCACGCACGTCCTTCCTTGGTTTTAGAGCCCAGACCTTTCTCATGGTGGAATGAGCCACGCAGCATGCTGTCCCCATGACACCTGAGAGCAAGCCAGAGGGGGCAGCACCGCAGCTGCAGCCCGCATTCCAGGGTCCCAGCCTAACTCCCTGGGCCCAGGGCATCTCAGGAAGGCTGAGGCGGCTACCTAGGCCCTGGCTCAGAACAGGAGGTCAAAGGAGCACACCTCAGGGCCGGTTAACCTCACTCTTGGCCCTAACCCAGACTCCAGCTTCTCTAGAAGAGCCCCAAACTAGCACGGTGGCGTGCGCACTTGCAACCCCAGCATTCCAGAGGCTGAGGCAGGAGCATCACAGGTTTGAGCCCAGCCTGGGGAATTGAGTGACTTAGTGAGACAGTCTCAAAAATAAAAAATAAAAAAGGGTTGGGGATGTACCTCAATGCGAAGGTCCTGTGTTCACTCCCTAGTGACACACACACATGCACAAACCTGCGTGCACACACTTGCACGCACACAGACACACACACACACACACACAGGTCTGAGCTCTGCAGGCTTAAGCTTGTTGCAGGCAGCATTAGCTAAGCCAAACGACAGGTCCACACAATGACTCCTCATGCACTGCTCTCACGAGGACAGCACAAGCTCCCAGGACCTGCACCAGGTGGAAGCAGAGAGGAAGCAGCTGGCAAGAATGATGTCAAATTTAATCCTCGACCTGTGCTCAGAAGACTCTGGTTTATATTCACCATCAAAATAAATCTTAACACTGTAAGGAAAACATTTTAAATTATTTCAGGGTCCTTTCAATTTTTCAATATTTATATCTCTTTGTTTGTTTTGAGACAGGGTCTCGCTATGTAGTTCAGGCTGACTTTGAACTCACTATGTAGCCCAGACTGGCCTCAAACTCACAGTGATACTCCTGCCTCAGCCTCCCAAGTGCTGGGATTACATGGGCATGCCACTACACTTGCCTGCAATATTTATATCTTAAGTAGTATTCAGGCTTCACAGATATGCATGGATAAAAGATACTTTGGGTTGTGAATATGTCATAACTCATAACTAAAGAATGTCACATTTTCTGTTTTTTATGTGTCATTTTATTTTTTTACTAGTACATGTTTGCAGTAACATTTCTTGGGTAGAGCGGATACATGTACACAACAAATCTTAATTCCTGTTTTCATCCCTTTTCCCTCCTCTCCCTCACCTCTATCTCTTGATCCTCTTTCCCTTTGGGAAAGTTCTGTCTCCCCGCTTCCTATATCTGTTTTTTATTCTGCTCTCTATCTATAACTTACACACATAGAGTACTACTCTGCCATATTGAAAGATAAACTTGAGTCATCTGGAGGCACTCTGAGACCATAATGTGCCATAAAATAAATCAGACACACAGCTTCAATATAACATGGTTGTTCTTATACGAGAAACCCAAATGATAAAGAGCAGCATAAAAGGTTTTCTATTTTTATATAGAATCAGCCAAAACAATGTTTGAAATCCAAATAGTTACAGTAGAAAAATTTCACTATCAGTCAGCAGAAAGAGGAAGTGTATGTTGAACATTTAAGCAGTTTTTATTGTAAATCTATCCCTTTGGTCAAATTTTTCCTAAACAAGGAACAGTTCTCATTCTCAAAAGCAGCACTGCCGATGTCAAAGGTGAGGACAGAAAAGATGCGCAAAGGAAGTCTTGTCGCCCCGAAGCGACACACACAAACACACCGCACCTCGTGTGCTTCCACAAGGCTCCTAGGTTCACTTCCTCTATTATGAAATTCAGGAGCTTAAATAAAAGGTACTTGTAAAAACTTGCTGAAGTACAAAGTAGAATAATTTTCTTAAATTATGAGCCTAATTGATTTAATATCTAGTCACTTGTTCCTTGACCCTAACAGATTTTTACTCTAGGCCTCCTGGACGTTGTAAATTCATGATGCCCAACCTAGTTCCCAGAAGAGCAGCCTCACGAGAGGTACTCAGATGCAGATTAAAAGCAAAGCTGAAAAGTGAAATGTGCCTTAGGTGAATTAATAATACAAGTGAAACCATTATGCAAAAATCGTTGTTTCACTGGAAATGTCTGAGTATGCATTATAAAAGTATTTTGGAAAATGCTGATAGAATTCTGCATTGAAACACAGAAGTCACCTTAAACTGCAAAGGAAAAATATTTAGGATATGAAAAATGGTACAGGATTAATGACGCCATCCCCTTCGGCAGGTTTCAAGAGATGGAAGCGGTAAAATGTTTCTTTCCATTGGTCCGTTGCTCTGTAAATGACAAATTTGCCTGTGGATGAATCTGAGTTCATACATTTACCTAGTATGTTCTCTTTGTAGGGACAAGCAATCCTTCTAGAACAGAGGTTTATAGTTCTGAGTAATGAAATGTCATACTATACATACTAAGGAACACCATGCCGTGACCTAAAGAGCGTGAGCATAAAATCTGAGCAGCCTAAAACTGGTGAGGACTTGAGAGAGTCCTTCCAAACAGAAAGCAATGATTTATAAATGAATAAATGAATGAATGAAATAAACAATGGAGCTGGGCTGCAGCTCCGAGGTAGAGCACTTGCTGGGCATACAGGACAGCCGGGGGTCCATCCCCAGCACTGCAAAACAAACACATAAATACATGCAATATACATTGAGGAATAACCAGTAGAATAAACCCAGATTTGATTTATAAATTTTCCCATGTATACTTTGTACATCTTGGAAAGCTACACAATATTAGAGTAACCATTCTACTTGAGAACTAAATGGAACCAAAACAGCCTTAGAAGGATTTGATGAAAAGAAAAAAATACCTAAACACGCATCTCTTTTAAATAAAGGGGTACTATTTTTAGTTTTTCCATTGTCAGGCAGGAGACAGAATGCATTCGGGCCACAGAATTGTCCTAAAATGTGTGACCTGACCACAGGGATCTGCACTTGTGTTCTAGTCATAGCAAGACTTAAAAATGTCACCAGAATCTCACCCAACCTAGGAGACTCAGTGAGGCAGGCACCAGACCCTGCTGTCCCTGCTCAGAAAATGAAATGCAATGCCAGAGTGTAAAGAGGCCAGAAACTCCAGAACAGCAGTGTGCGATGGCTTCCCAGACCCTACAGTGATAACGACAAAAGTTCTAACCACTCATGAAAATAACTTCTTAAACAAATCTTTCCATTCTTCATCTCTCCCGTCTTTGAGTTCTCAACAAGGAATGAGTCAACCATAGTTAAGAATCTTTCTGGAAGACACAGAATACAACTTAAGTAGAAAATGTCCCAAGTGTGAAAAATCAAGAAATAAATGTCACACTGCAAAGGAAAACAACCCAGTGAAAAATTAACAGCCTTGAATTCTTATTATGAACCAAGATACTCAAAATGAGACATTAAAATTCAAATAGGTTTACTTCCAGATGAGTACTCCTTTAAAATGTCTGTATTACATACTCATAGATGAATGAGGCAGGACTTTAAATACTTTGTGATTTAAAAACTCATCAAAAATTCAGTATTAATATGTTTATTCATCTAAAATGCTTTTCTATCTTCTATGTAAAAGATCTTAACTAAAACCATTAAAATCCATACTGATGCTCATGAAATCTTTTTTTTTTTTTTTTTTTTTACTTTCTGTACATTACAACCATCTGACAACCAGCATTTGGATTGACACAGAAACTATAACTGAATAAAAAATATTTACATTTTAAAAAGCAGAAGGGAAAAAAGAACATCTTTCTAATGAGGTTTAATCAAATAGCTGAAGTCTACCTCTCCTGCTCCTGCTTCATTCGCTTCCTCTCCTCTTCTGACGTAAAGGGTTCCTGCATTTTTATTTTACCCGTTTTCTCAATCTTGTCATCTTTTCGATGTTTGCCAAACCTGTTGATAACAAAAAATTCTAACTTGTAAATATATACGACGTAAGTTCTCTTCCCTTTGTAATAAAGACACGTACTCCGTGAAATTTTAGCTTATTCAAAATAAAGGCCAAGCGTCACCTCTTGTCAGTACCCACAGTTCTCAATCAGAGCATCTCATTCATTTATAATTAGAACATTCTAGAGAAAATCTTTATAGAAAATGGCTTCAATACCCATTTTCCTTTTGGCAAGACAAAAATAAAAATGAATGATGAGACTTGTGATTCATCCTTATGAAACAAACCAAGTATATAGGAGGAAGTGCTGAATACTTCAGATGCCAGGAGAGGAAAAATCTGTAAAGAAGTTCCTCTTACAACTAGATAGTGACAGTCCATCCTCTCCTCTTTAATAATCTCTCCATAAACAATCATTCTTTGTTTCCATGGCCAGGCTTATTGGCAACATTCATCATAGTTTAAACAGTGACCAATAAGGCCACATTTGGGAGACCTGACACACCCACAATAATTCACACTGCTGAAACTGGCAGAGCTGATTAAACCGGTGCTCCGGGGCTTCTCATCAAACACCCACAAAGCCTGATGAAGGCAACTGCTGAACAAGGCATCTCTGACTTGGAAATCTGTATCTGATCAAAACCAGATACAGGCAACCCACAGCCCAAAAATGGTCCAGGAGGTGCCATGGATGGATGCTGTCTGGGAGGCTCCCAACAAAAATACTGACTTTATCCTGTTCTGGCATCCAAAGGAACCAGGAACCTCAAACTTGGTGTCAATTCTTCCTGCAATTATCTTTTGAGACCCTGTGGCCTGTGATGCATATATCTTTAAGTCCTGTTCATCTGTGACTTCCCAGTTGCCAGATGTTTCCAGAGATAAATATTTCATAAGACACATAAACAAAAGAACATTCACAAATGAAATACAGTGACACCTTGGTTGTTGAACCCAATTCATTCCAAATTCAGGTTCAAACACCGAAAAGTTCAAGAACTGATCATATTTTTCCCATAAGAAATAATGGAAAACCAAATGATTCGTTCTAAGGCCCAAAAAATACACTCAAAAGTTCATTTTTACTTATTCTTTTTGGCCTGAAACCCTGTATCACTTTTAATGTTCTTGCTTTGTTTTGTTTATGTTTGTGATGTTGGTATGCTGCTATTGGTTTGTTTTTTTTTTTTTTTTTCATTTAATACTCTCTTTAAAATAAAAAGAAAAGAAGGCAAAAAAGTTCATTTTTTCAGGACTTTAACAAATTTCACAGTGATGTTTTTCTTTAACTCTATGGTGGTTCTCACACTTTCCCTCTTAGCTTTACGCTGGTGTCATTAACTCTGGAGCTGCAGTTATATCCTACACAAATAAAGCCACACACACCCAAAGCACAATGCTGAATGAATGCATTAACACAAGCACTATATTCTATGTTGTCTGGGCAAGGGCAGCGCTAAGGCTAAAGTATCACCCTTCGTGTCCCTGGCGAGATGCAGCCATGACTCACTCTAGGCCCCTGCAGGTTTTTTGAAGTCATATTTTTGGTTTGACTACTGAGCAAAGTGACAAGCACCGAGAAGACTGTTTTTGCAATTTGCTAGAATGTTCAAGCTTGGAGCCATTCCACAACAGAGGCATCACTGTGTACCTGTGGCGGGAGCCTATGGCACGAATGCCACAGTGGGCACCAGAGCCCACTCTGTCGGTGTGCCAGTCAAGTTGCCCCAGCATTGCCCCAGCAGCCGAGCTCTCACGCTCTACTGCAGTACTGGCACTTTGTGATCCATAAGTGAGTTTGACGTTGCAGTTTGGGCACTTATCTCAGAAAGGTTCACCCCATCACTAACACTAAGCATATACAAAACATTAAAAGTAAAACTTTTATTTTCATTAATATATCAATAATGCCTCAGAATTAAACATAATGATGGGCTTTACAGACTAGATGAACAAAATCAGTGAAAGAATAAACATAAAAAGTACACCCCAGTAAAGGCCAACATAACGTTCATGTATTCCACAAAAATGTACCGAGCATCGACGATGTGGCAAGGACTTATTTGCTGAAGGAACTTGGGCTCTAGGCAGTGAACAAAACTCAGGAAGTTTCTGCAGCTGTCCTAGGGCTGCCAGGCTGGCTGACATTGAGGTGAGAGATCAGGAGGCAGTGAAAGAGGGGCTGTGGGTGATCTGGGACAGAATGGTCAAAGCTGCTCCCTGGGAAGATGACTCGGATCCGGGGGAGGTATGGGAGGTGGCAGTGCTGGGGCTCAGCGATGCAGAGGCCCGGGCACTGGTGGGTGGAGTGGCTTTGGGGACTGCCACGGTGACGATATGACAAAGGCTCAGCAGAAAAAGCAATGACAGAAGAAGAGAAGTAGAGAGACAAGAGGGCGAAGGTTGTGCAGGACCCTGAAGACTGCAAGGAGTTGGGATTTGACCAAGATAAGGCAAAAGTCGCTGCAGAACTCTATACAGAAATGGCACTGGTGACATTTTAACAATACAGGGTATAGTGTGGAGAATGCACCGAATGTAAAATGAAACTGGGGAGAATATTTCGGATGCCATGGTAATAAAAGAGGAGGCAGCAGAGATCAGAAAAAGCAGTTTGTTTCCAGATAGTGGACACCAGCATGCACAGGATTGGCTGACGGGGAGCTGGAGGGAAAGAGGAAGTCGTTGAAGAGAGGGCCTGTGGCCCAGTGACCACAGCCCAGGACTGGACAGGCCATGGGTGTCAGCAGCATGCGTGTAACACGTCAAACCATGAGATTTAATTTCTACCCTGAAAAATCTGCAACACCGAGGCATCTGGAAGTATGAAGTGTATTACATTCTAACTTCTAGTGAAGTGTAAGATCAAATTTTAATGTATCATATTTACTTACCATTTTAACCATGCACCTTTTTAGCTCATAAATATCCTTCAGATAATACATTGTTTTCATTTTGCTCATTTTTTTCAAAAGACATTGTGCAGGTTTACCCACAAATTACAGAAATTCAAGTCTGAATCATATTTGAGAACACGATGCGATGTCGCTGGTGACATTATAATATCTAGCCAGGTCAAAAGCTGTTTCCCTCTTACAAGTACATAATGTGCATCTGCTCTGTGAGTTAAGGATACTGGGGAAAATGCAGACTGGCTGGCTTCTGTATGTTTTATTTTTATTATTATCTGAGTCATGAGTTGTTTGAGGTGAAATCTGGGCCCTCATACAGACTAGCCAAGCTCTGTACCACCAGCTATATATCCATAGCCCAAGTTTGGCATGTTTTAAAACAGCTTAGATATTTTCAGCCCAAATCTAACACTGAGCTTAATTAGCTATGTCAAAATCTTTCTTTAAAAAAAAAAATGGTCATAGTCCTATTGGATGAAGAAAGTTCCATTTGTCCCCAGGTAATATATATATATATTCACTCTATTATTTCTAGCTCTTTAGCTTTCACACACATGATTAAAAAGAAGAAAAAAAGAGTAGAATCCTGATTCATATTTAAGAGTGCATTTTCTCATTGTGGTTGGTAACCAAATATTAGTTTCTTACACTGTCTTCTAACCACTAGAATAATTACTATATTTTTTGTAACTTTGTTCTCAAAGTATTTGAGAACATTTTCACTTTTTATAGTATAGATTCAAGATTAATGTATGAAAAACTACATAAAGCATAGATAAAATGTTATAGGCTAACATTTGGACATCTCCCTTAATACCTGCTCTAGTCAATAAATTAGGTGAGCTGGGGATGTAGCTCAGTGGCATAGTGCCTGCCTGGCAAGCACGAGGTCCTGAGTTTGATTCCCAGTACCAAAAAGAAATTAGGTGATATTTTAAAGCATTCTATAAAATTACAGCATATTACTCTATAATTGGTGCAAAAATGGATCACTCAGCTCTAATTTTCTTGATGAAATGAAGTAGACTGTAAGGGAAAAAGTATCCCAGTCATTCTAGAGTGTAAAAAGAAAAAAAAAAATCTATACCTACTTTCACTCTAATTGCCAATATATTCTAGTCTGCTGCTTCTCCCCTCACTCCCGGGACTGGGGATTGAACCCAAGAAGAGCTGAGCCACATCCCCAGCCCTTCTTTTAAATTTTCATTTTGAGGTGGGGTGTCACTATGTTGCTCATGCGGGTCTCAAACTTGCACCCTCCTGCCTCAGTCTCCCAAGTAGCTGGAAGTATAGGCATGTGCCACAGCACCTGGTTTAGTGTGCTTCTTCATTTACAGTTGCTTAATTCTTCCTGCAAAGGCAGAGTCAGATCACTGAAAAACACTCTGGCTACATGGACTGGCAAAGTTAGCTTCACAGATGAAATCCATTATCAACCTAGGATGGTAATCACTTACTAGCCAGATGCTTAACAACTTGGAAAAGATCAATTACTTTTATATTAATATCTTTTAGAAGCCATTGGGGCATGAATGTCAGGTGGGTCACTGTCTAAGGAACAGCACAGCTAGAGAAATACTGGGCTAATGGACGGTCTCGGGCACACGCGCTCTCAGCTGAGAACACTCCGAGAGCAAATTTAACCACCCACGGTGTGAGGCAGAGGCGGCCTGCCTGGCAGGACTTTGCCAGTCACATCTTGGACATATGGACACAAGATGATGATCTCTTTTTTTGAAATAGAGGAATAAAGGTAAAATAAAGAGTTTGGGGGAGAGGTGTTACGAAACTGCTTTAGGGCAGTGCCGAATGGAAAAGTCCAGCGCAAAAGATGCTCGTGCTCAGTGGAAAACCCCCAGAGACAGACACAGCGACGAGCCCAGTCTTTCCAGACAGGAACTGATCGTAACATCTCTGAAACATATGCTTTTCTTCATTAAGGATTCGGGAATGTTTGCACTCGGCTAAAGTAATCCCAAAGTAATCTGCTAAATGGGTTTTACTGTGATGCATTGCAGATGAAATGAAATCACTGCCGTCTGCCAGATCAACCCCATCTATCAGTGCGTGGACAGCAATGGCGGCAA